CTTGGGTTATGTACGTTCATCTAGGCATTCTTTTCCAAAAAAGACCAGTCTCATTGCAATTAAACACTTGATTCCAGACATATCCTTCACTTTTTTTACAAACTCTGTAAATTTATCTACAAATGCTTTTGCTGCTTTTTCATCTGAACTTGAAGCCTCTCCGTGTCTTATGACACTGTGAATGCCAATTCGTCGACGAAATCTAGCAAACTACCCTCGGCTCGCTTTAAAGTCCTGCTTGTCTGCACTTGTACTGGGTGTCTGGGTCAACAAGTCATTGTATAAATTTTTAGCCTTTTCACAAATTATAGCTTCCCTAACACTGTCTCCAGCAAGTTGCTTTTTATTGATCCATATTAGCAACAGTTTTTCAACTTAATCTAAACTTTAGATCTTTGTTTCGATATCACATTCACTCCTTTAGCCACTTCGGCAGCCTTAAATGCTTTTTTGTTTTTAATAATTGTAGCGATAGTCGATTTTGCCAAATTATATTTTTTAGCAATGTCAGAAACATGAATGCCATTCTCGTATTTTGCAATAATTTCTTTAATGCTACACTAAAACATTTTCTATTTCCACTGTCACTTTTCTCCTTCTTCGGTGCCATATTGATTAAATATACAGTATAAATAACAAAACTAAAAAACGAAGTTTAACACACTTGAAAAAGCAATGCGTACCTTGCGCACGCCTAAGAGCAACTGAAATTTGTGAGATTCCAGAACAGCTGGAAACTATTGGGTTGATGCAAAAGTGTTGCGTTTTTAGCCAGCTGGTGCTAAAAACACAACACTGAAGTGTTATTTCCTTCACATGTGTAAAATTTCGATATTGTTTGACAAAAGGGATCTCAGCTAGTATTTGAGAATAAAGCTGTTACTTAGTTGTATTTTTAAAATTTTGTTAAGCATTACAAATGGCAGAAAATAAAGAGCATTTTCGACATATTATGCTTTTTTATTTCTGAAAAGGCAAGAATGCTTCGCAGACACAAAAAAAGATATGTTCTGTGTATGGTGAGGAAGCCATTGATGATTCCACATGCCGTAAGTGGTTCAGAAAGTTTCGTAAAAACAAGCTTACAAATTTGACACAAAAAGCCGTTAAATTTGTTATCCAAGACAAAATTTTTGCAAAATAAAAGTTTGTTAACCGATTTGGTCATTAACCGGGGTTCCACTGTATTAGTAGTGACGTAAACAAGGGTTGACCATTCGATCCATTCCTGATCAAACAATTTTTCCTTTCTTTCTTTTTAGTTAGAACATGTTCTAACTAAAAGGGAGAAAGAAAAGGGTTTGTCCAAAAGTCATTTTACGGTCTTCCTTTGAGCACAGTTTCCTTTACTTGGAGATGAGCCACTTTGACAGGAGTGTCTGTAGAATCTGCCAGCTCGATGCTGGTTTCAACAATCGGATGACTGCTGTCTGAATCAGATGTAATTATGCACGCAATACCTTCCAAGGGAATTCTAGCTGTCTTCCAACTCAGTCGAGAGAGACCTCAAAAAATTGTCCAGCGGCCTTTGTCCCTTCGCTTTTAAGGGGATCGTCCAGTCAAATCCAGAGCAGAGTCAGTAAGTTGCATTCAGGCCCACCTCAGTCAAAATCCCCATGTGATACATCCCGCTATGCCAACTCTTTCCGGAAAAACCAAACTGCCCAAGCAAGACAAAATTGCTTTGTCTCTGCCAATCGTTAGGCCTACATGACATTAGTGTACATAGTGCCTGCATATTTTTGGAAGATTACTAAAATATATCAAAACTTGCTAAATTCCTTTTCTGTTACTGTCCCAATTAAGTGATTAAATTATGTATTAATTTATTAGTTTGGCTTCCATTCTTTGAGATTTGGCCCAATAAAGCAGCTGCCCTGAATAACCAGTGTCCCAATTAAGTGGAATCCACTGTATATCAAAATATTCCTAAAATCAAAACAAAAAATAGCTTAATGATTTTAAAGTTAATTGTTATATTCATTTTATTACGTCTAATTTTCAATCAAAATATTCTGAAAACATAGATACTACTGTATGTAATAAAAATAAAACTCAGTTTTGTGTTTACTTTATAAGGGAGTTGGTGATTATTTATATATATGCTCAAAAGTAGACATTAGTATTCAATCCAATTATGTATGGCTTTCTTTTTATTCCTACTATTCTTACTTATGGCCTTTATGGTATATGCTTTATCTTTCTTTATCTTCAACAATACAAAAGAATGATTAATTACATTGTATTCAGGAAATATAAAATACATATTATTACACTATTTGAGACATTTTTAAAAAGTAAGCATTAAAACTTTCACAAATATTCCAGCTCCCAACATAGTTTTGTGTATATAAATCTTTTACTTTGTGTAGTCACTTTCAGAATATTAAATTAATTTCATTTTCATTTCCACTTTTCCATTTCCATTTTTTAAATTTCATTTATAATATTGTAGATTATAAAAATAAGGCTATTGGATGATTAATCAATATATATATATATATATATATATGTTTTAAATAATAATACTTTTCTTGCTTTATGATTATGATATTCAATATANTACAATCACAATTTATAATTATGACATACTCGCTAGTACTTTCATATGTTTTAAATAATAATACTTTTCTTGCTTTATGATTATGATATTCAATATAGCTAAGCAATATCCATTGATTGAAATTGTTTTCTTAATTATATTTTTTATGAAGTAATTTTTAAAAAAGTTTTTTGCTATGTTATGTCCTTTACATGTTGTTATAAGGTATCTATCTGTATACTTTATATTATTTGAACTTCATCTAACAAAAATGCCGACTTCCCTTTTTTTACATTTACTATAGATTATTGATACCTAATTTTCATCTTTAACATTATCTTCATATTCTTTGTATATATCATTATATCTATATCATCAGTTTTGTCTGATATTTTGTATAATCATTTATTTCAAATTTTTGAGGTTTATTTTGTTTATATATAAATAAACAAACATCATGAAATCAGATAAATTTTTGGAGCCAAACATCCACTGGATTATATTGGGCTACTTTTCCGCAATTCTATTCAATTAATTACTAAATACGAGGGTCGTCTCAGAAGTACCCGACCTGACATAGATGGCGGTACTTGTTTGAAAAAAAACGACTGTGTTGGAAAGTATCAACCTTATAAAGCTTAAGTTTGAAGTTTGAAGACGTTACGTTGTATAGTATTTTTTTGGCAGCCATAAATAATAGTGAACAATCTTAGTGAATTTGTAAACATGGAAAAAATTTGTCATTGTTATGTGATACAATACTTTCATTTGAAAGGTTTCAGTCCAACCAATATTAAAGCTGAGCTAGATTCTACTCCGGGGGAGTCTGCTCCCTCGTTTACAACAATAAAATATTGGGTGGCAGAGTTTAAACGAGGCCGTGTGAGCTGCTAAGACGAACATCGTAGTGGTCGACCAAGTGAGGTGACCATGCCAGAAATGGTGGAAAAAATCCACAAAATGGTATTGGATGACAGTCAACTCAAAGTGCAAGAGCTAGCAGTCATGGTAGGCATTTCAAAAAGTGCTTTACATCGCATTTTAACTGAAAATTTGGGCATGTGAAAGCTGTGCGCAAGATGGGTGCCGCGTTTGCTCACAATGGGACAAAAACAGCGTCGTGAGGATGTTTCAATCGAGTCTTTGGCAATGTTTCGCAGCAACAAAGCCAAGTTTTTGCATCGATTCATAACCATGGATGAAAGATGGGTCCATCACTTCACACCTGAGACGAAAGAACAGTCAAAACAATGGACTGAAAGGGGAGAAGCAGCTCCAAAGAAGGCAAAAACAGTTCCATCTGCTGGCAAGGTCATGGCATCAGTTTTTTGGAATGCGCTCAGGAAAAACAATCAACGGAAAGTGTTATGCGAACTTACTGCAGCGCTTGAGTGATGAAATCAAGAAAAAACGGCCACGTTTGGCGAAAAAGAAAGTGTTGTTTTATCAAGACAATGCACCAGTTCACACATCTGTTATTGCCATGGCCAAAATCAATAAGTTAAGGTTCAAATTGCTTCCTCACGCACCCTATTTGCCAGATTTAGCCCCCTCGGATTATTTTCTTTTTTCAAACTTAAAATAATGGCTTGGTGATAAAAGATTTGCCAACAATGAAGAGGTGGAGTCTGCAGTTGATGGCTATTTTGAGAAGCTCGACAGTTCTCACTATAAATGGGATCGAAGCTATTGTACGTTGCCGGAAAAAGTGTATCGAGCTAAAAGGAGACATGTTGAAAAATAAAGATATGTTTTACCAAATTTTTTGTGTCTTCTTTGTTAGGTCGGGTACTTCTGGGACTATCCTCGTAATTTGTCTCTAGAGTGAGATGGTGTCTAACACCAACTCTTATTTTGTTTGTAGATTTATTATCTGTTCAACGTGGATGAAAATGTTTGCTCTTGTGTAGTTTTATATTTTATTGCTGGATATTTGTTCTGTGTAGTGCTTATTTATATAAATAATATATATATTACTAGTTTTATATTTACATATAATACTGGTAATAATCTTGACTTAAAAATATCTATTACTTTTAACATTTATTATTGGATTGAACTTAATTAAAAATAATAAAGTATTGATTAAAACATGTTTTTTTTTTTTGCAAAATATTTATATTTTTGGTAATATATAATTTGGTTTTTAGTAATTTTATTTAAAAACTTTATAGGTTAAACCAGTGATGAACAACCTTTTCTGGATGTAGGCCACAAGTGAACTCTGTAGGCTTCCGGTGAGCCAGATGCATTTTTTTTCATAGAGTTGCAGGTTTAAGCTGCTGAGTATCAACATACTCCATAATCTCTAATACACTAAATACTAAAATACACACTAATGATATGCAAACTAGTAATATACAGTTTATTCTCATAATTTTCTGTGTTTGTAAATTGGAGAGTGGTATTGGACAGAAATTTTTCTTTAAAAACATATTTATTGTCTTGAATTACAAATTATTGTTGTTTATTTAGGATAGTGATTTTGAAACTTTGAAATGTTTCAGACCCTTTTATAAAAGACATATTTTGATGAACCTTGTTTTCAGCTGTTAGCTTTTAGTGATATGTGAGGCATTTTTGACCATTTTTTCATTGCATTAATTTGAATAGTTTTGTTAAAATAACAGAAATAAATTATAAAATTTAATAAAAATAACAAACTTATTTTGTGATTGTAAAAAGACACTTTATGCCAACAATCAAATAAAATAATTAACACTAGTGTTGTGATGTTACAATCACAATTTATAATTATGACATACTCGCTAGTACTTTCAATAGCTTACAGCCACCATCCTCAGGCAAAGAAGAAATCGAATACAATTAATTTTCGAACATTTGTTTATGAACCGACTTTTTCAAATTATCTAAGGCATGTGGAACAAATTAAATTGAAATATTTTTGAAAAATTATAGAAGTGCATAGTAATTGATATCATATTTTTCAAAAACTCTTAAAAAGCAATTTAGTAAGCTGTATATGGTTGTAGTACACATGTGAATACAAAATTACAAATTAAATTGTTTGAATAAGGTTACTCACAATTGCGAAATTTCTATGGTCAGTGTATTGCACGGTGTTACTGTGGATATATAAAGGTTTGGGAATAAATAACTCTGATTATTGTACTGCTTAAGTAATTTGGTGTGTGCCCAAAGTGGTAGATAACCCTGATCTAGTACCTTTTTAGATAACTCAGTTGCTGGTCTGTTGTTTTTAATATCATCTTGATGTACCAGGATACAGGACTGTGGCATTCTTGTAGTAACTCCAATGTAAATAATTTCCTCCCCTGATAGTATGTGTTATATCAGAATTTTGTAGACCCCCGATTTTTCATTTAATGTGAGAATGCCTCTATCATTACATAACACTCTTTGTAGTGTAGGTTGGGGAGGCTATGGGCAAGTAAAGCCATGCTTTCTAAAAAAGACTTATTTTGTTTTTCAAATGTCATTAAAATATAACATTTTAACATCTAATATACAAATTTATCAAATTTCATTTAAAGCTTAATATATCTTTAAATAGTAAATATTTTAAAATATTATATTAAGTAATAAAATAAAAGTGTTTTTAGAAAATTGGCCTATAGACCCCAACAAGTATTTGTATGCCTATAATACAAACATTGCATTTGTAAATTATACTATTTCCTATAGAGTTAGCACATTTTTCTTGAGCACAACACTCACAAACATTGAACCAAATCCAGTCTTTATCAAAATGCTTTTTGCAAATGATGCAAATAGTCTTTTCAACACTTTGTTTATTGTCTTTCTCAAATAATAATGTTTTTTGCACCTATTTGTTTGTTGTTTTTCCTTAGCGGCAAGTTTTGCCTCATTGTCCAATACCATCTGAATGAGACATTTTAAAACAATTTGGGAAAAAATCAGCTTTAAAATGAGAGATTTTAATTCTATAAGTTAAAGATAGATGATGTTTATATTGGTAAACTAAGAAATAAATTTGATTTATAATTAATGATGAGACAGATTGATGAAGTTAACTTTATGTTAGCATAACAACAGCTATGCAAACAACATTGTCTTCATTCTCAATATGAAGAAATCCCAGCTTTCCTGTGCAGGTGGACCAGCCAATGGCTTGACAACAGTTGCCACATATGTCTAAAATTTAAAACAATCTTTGTCTGATATTACCAAACCTTCTCCTTGTATCAGTTTTGTTTCTCACAACAACTTAAGTCAACTATTTTGTATTACATGCATAGAGTAATCAATATTTTCTGTCAGGATTGTTACAAAATACTGAATATCCTTTGTATGTAAACAAACCTTTGAATTTAAATATTTTCTTTGTTTCTCTAGTTGATTGCAAATATAATTATATTCATCATTCTTTTAAATAAAAATTTGGTTCTTTAATTAAAATTATTATTTTTTAGTAGAGATTAAGTTCAGATAATAGATCAAATTCAATGCAAGTAACTTATCTTATTAACTGCAACATGGATATATTTAAGGATATGCATTTTGAGAAAATATGAATTTTCAGTAGCTTGTGAAGTACTTCATTTACCTTAAATTTTCTTTAGATTAGTTCATTAAAAATTGTTGAAGAAGTGTTCATTTCCACTTGAAAGAAAATCCCTTGAAACTTTAAATTTAACATTTAAATAGAAGAGCTGTATTTCCCTTTTAAGAAAAACTTAAAAGAATTTCATTTTTAACAAGTGATTTTAAAAATATACCCAAAAGTCCTAGAACAAACATGATTATTAGTGATGTAACGAATATTCGGTTATTATTCGGTATTCGGCCTATTCGGCCTATTTTTCACTATTCGGCCGAATACCGAATATTTAATCACTATTCGGCCGAATACCGAATATTTAATCACTATTCGGCCGAATACCGAATACCTAAAATCAGGAGTAATAAATAACAAAAACACAGTAAATTAATCATTTTGGTATTTAGAGTTAATGTTATAGAGTTAGTGTTGTTTGTTTATATTTATTTATAACTTGTAACATGCACAAAATAAAAAAGAANAAAAAATGGTTAATTATATGTGTACATACATACACATTAGAATGTGATATTATGAATTAAATTTAGATGTAGGCAAAATTATAATTTGCATCAATTATTTTATTACAGATATAAATTATAATGGATTTACTGCCAGAAAAAATTGCTCAACTGATCCCAAAAGAAAGAAATGACTTAAAATTACATGAAATAGAAGAAGAAATTGTTGGTAAAGTGATAAGATATAAGATTGATAATTTTGTAGACTTCCTATTTCAAGATTATAAAAATGGTAAGAATTAATGTTAAAATTTATTTTTCGTTACAAATGAACCAAATATCTGTTTTATTGGAACTTCTAGTAAATAAATACATATATACTTTTTAACTTTAATGCTATTGAGTTTTATGATTTATCATCAAGTTTAGATGTATTAATTAAATTCTGATATAAATATTCACATTTCTAAAAATCTATGTAAAAGGATGGATGGTTGGATTGATTGGATTACAGAAATGGGTTCAAGACATCAACTATGGTTTAAAACTCATTAAAGTCACAGTTTATGAATAAGCACATTGTAAGAATGATATTTCTCAATCATCTTGATTTAGACAAAAATTAGAAACTGGTTTTTAAACTAACTTTCTAGACCTATCCAGTGGCAAATTTAGACTGTGGCTTTCTCTTTCGTAAATGGAAATTACTATTCTTTTTCTTCTGTTTTTTGCAATAAATTTGATTAGGATTGGATATCATTGTGTTTTATATGTTATTAATGCAATAGAGAGATGATATTAATCTGGAGAACTACAAAAGGAAAGAAGAATAATGTGAGATCTAAATAATAATTTAGGATTGTATCTTGATCAGGAGTTTTGAATTTAATACTCATTTTGTAAATCTACATTCGTGTTTGATTTGAATCAAATTGGATACAAAATTAAACATTGAAAGGAAAAAAGTTCATTATTAACTGTGGAACAACTATTGTTTGTTGATTTAAAATGGAATTAAAATAATTGAAAGTTAAACTAAGAATTTTTTCCCTTAAGAAAGTAAATCTTTAATTATTTTTAAACAGTAATGTTGATTTTACTGTTTATAACTTTTATTAAAGAATAATTATAAGTTAATTCCAACAAGATGCAAATATGTTACTTATTGTTGAAGCCAGTTGAGTGCAAATGGTTGAGTTAATTGAACAATAAATAAATTAGCAAAGAAAGATACTGAACTGAGTATAGAGAAGAATAAAACAGGCTCTAATTATAAAATATAAATGGTGAAAACAACCCAAATCATCACTGATTAAGTCATGATTTTTATAATTTAAAGCAAGCTTGAACTGTTTTCTTTTGTTTGTGCAAAATGTAATAAAAACAAAATGGAGACGATTATCTATTGTTTCCAGTTTACAAATTCTGATTTTAAATTTTCTATTTGATAAAATGTAATCTGTTTCTAATTTATAAATTATATTTAATTATATTTATCATTTTTCTTCAATTCAATTGTTAAATAGTTCCTAATTAATTTGAAAAAAAACTCTTTTCTTCTCAAGTGAAGTTCCACACTCTTCTACATTGTACATTCACATTCTTGTCATTTTTATGATGTAATGAAAAGATTCATTCAGTTGGTTTACCAATGTCTAAAAGCCAGGAACAATGACTATGGCATTAAATGTAATAACTGAAGATTTTTGAACTTTGGAGTCCAAAATTTGTCAAGATCATATCCAAAAATTGCTGATTTGTATCTTTGCAATGTAAAAAATAGTAAAAAAAATAATTTATATTCTAAGAATTGGTTAAGAATTCTTTTTTAATGTTTTCAAGAAATTTTATTTTTATCTTCATGAATATTATGAAATACAGCTACTGTACATGTACAGAATTTTCATTATGTTTGTTTAGGTAATGTATTTGAAACATGCAAAGATATATAAACTCATACAAATTAAAATTAATCTTTCCAAGCTTGCAATCATATTAAAATTTAAGGATACATTCTGCAAGTACATAAATAATTACTAACATAATTATTTTGGCTTGTTTTGTGGATAAATTAAACTTAAGAGAGAATTGGTGACAGTTCAAAACAAGCTTTTTTCAATTTCAATTTTTATTATTATTTTCAGTGTGGCCCACCATTGGCCAAGCAGTTTCGTTCTCTGAACAGTGGTAGTTTGGTTATGGGTTCGCACCTCGCCAGGATGGGCTGGCCACATGGAGTTTTCTGGGTTTTCTCTTTAATAACCTAAATAGGGGCCAGTTACCCTTAAAAAAGACCTCCTCGAAAACAAACAACAAACATATTTTCATTGTATATATCTCTACTATGTAACTATTTTGAAAATCTACTTATTGTATTTAGATTTGCTAGAAATTTGTTTAACACATGGCCTGCAGACAAAGCTTTTAACTTCATGACATGTAATGTGGACTTGTAGAACACAACAGAAGAGTATTTTATAAGGGTATCTATTCTAGAAGGTTGATGGCTGAGGCATTAGAGGTATCACTTTGGTGCTGTGAAAGAGTTGGGTTCGGGACCAGGTCAGAAACCTCAGGAATTTTTCATGGATATGTCCTGGATATTTTGGGCCCTTTCATCATTCACCATTATTATGGACTTGACCAAACATGATTGTCATGGAAAAGGCTCTCTTAGTGCCCACAGTGCAGAATGTGTTAAAAAACAAAATACTTTTCAAGATTCATTCCTTTTTCATACTTTTTCATTACTAAAAGCAATTATGATTTTACTGTACCAAATGCAACAGAAATATGAGTATTGTATCACATTAAATTTACTTGTGATTAAATGATTAAAAACATAATCTTTTCTAGTTTTCTTCAATATTTTGTATTTTCTTGTAGGAGTGTTTATTTATTTATGTTAATAATAATAATAATAATAATTCACAAATGAAATCTATTAATTTATTTTTGTGGTTATAAAAATAATTATGATTCTTCATCCAAATTATAGTGCTTTTTTTTGAATTTTAGAAAAATTAGACAATTATTTTGCAAAATGAAACTGATACACTGAGCCATTAACCATTGCATTGTTTTATTTTAGCATTACAATAATAATGGTTTAGATTCCTGCCCTGGGATCTAGTATGTTTTCAACAATTGTATTTCTATATAATAACAAATCCAATAGCCTCATTTTTAATTAATGCCAAATAATCTGCTGGGCTCTACTAAGGCTAATTTAATAATTAGATATGAAGTAATTTTACTAGAGGTAAGCAGTTAGTTTTTCATCTCATAATAAATTTAATAATTTCTATATTCTGAAAGAAAAGATTAGCCAAGAGTGTAATGAACCTGCAATTATATATACTATATTTAATTATATTTCTGTCGTTTTAAGTGAATTATTCTTAAGTCATCTGCAATCAGATAATATAAGTCTGCTTAAGTTAAAGCTACAGGCTGCATAATAACTAAAATTCTTTTATTATATTTGTGTTTGACATTTATATAGATGAAAACCATGCATATTTTTATGCAGTTATGGTCTTTTCAGCAAGCCCATTGTGGGTTTGGCCAGGCCCACAATGGGGCAGCTGGGTAGTGAGAGACAGTGTCTGACATATCTGGATTGACCACTCCTTGAAAATATGTTCTAGGGTATTTTGATCCATCCAGACTTTTATCCTGGGTCCCTTAGAATGGTAGGCAACCATCTTAACTGCTTAGTCGTCCAGCCATTCTGTAGTTATGGTTATATGCTCTTCAAACATTTTGAGAAAAAAATAATTATCAAAATTTTTTCATTGTTAATTTTATATGAGATCTAATTCAGTTTTATGTTAGCTGTTTGATATTAAAATAAATTATTTTTTTTCTTTAACATCTTTTTAGATAAAAGTATACAAAGTAAATAGAAGTTAATATTTAGGAAAAATATACTGTAATATTCTGAATGAAGAAACATTAACACTTTAACACTTAGAAAAAATAATCTAATAATCTAATGTCTGTAGGGTTTCTGATGCAGGAAATTTCAAAATTTTTCTTGTCTCTGGAGAAAATAACTAACAATAATATATATAATAACTGTACTAATATATAATACTGTAAACCTAATATTAATTTTATAAAAGTCTTGAGACTTTTATACAATTAATATTGTATTGTAGTCTATGATAAAAATTTTACTATAAATTAATGAACTATTTAATGACTAAAGTTAAATATGGCATTATTTATTATTTTATACATCAATTTGTGTTTAATTTACATCAATTATACATCAAATTGTACAACAATTTGTTTTAAATATAATCCTATAATATCATTACAGGGATATTCATGATCCTTAGCTTTCCTCACTATACCTGATTCATGGCTTAAAATTTACAGAACTGTCAGTTTTCTTGGTCTTATTCCTGATATGACAGGTTCTATGACAAAAGCCAATAGCTTAGTGGAAAGCTTCCTTGAAATAATGTTCACCAACAGAAGGACCAGAATTGTTTCGTGGTGTAAAAAAAATAGTAGAAAGAATTCCTTTAAAAAAAAATGATGATGCCAATGAAATGGTCTAACAAAGATGAAATGAAGATTGCAAATTGTTCTGTTGGAATGATGATCATGGTTCATAGCTTTCATAGAATGAAGCTCTTATAAAAGTGAGAAAAGCTTCTCATTGTGAATACTTCTTATGTGATTAATATGATTGTACACTAAATGTAATGAAACTGCTATATTGTAAAGGACAGATTTATTATATTTGCTACTTCTGAGTCAGTTCATTCGCATAGTTATCATTCTTATCAGGTGGTTTGTTAGTTAAATGCAGATGTAGATTTAGGATTTGAGTATTAGTTTACAGTACATGCCCATAATTATGCTTAGTATATATATAAATCAATACATCAACCAAAGCCAAATATCGAGCTAGAAACGGCTATAATACTAACTCTAATGCCAAATTGTCTATTAAATTATTAGTATTATAGCTGTTTCTAGCCCGATAATATTCAGCTTTGGTTAATGTATAGCTTTAAACGTATCAGGTCTGGTAAGAATGTTTGATTATTTATATAAATCAATTGTTTAAAATAATATAAAATTAGATTATATGTATATATATATATATATATATATATGTTTCTTATATCATTTTTTTCTAAATTAGTTATTATAATTGATGATTGGTCCTTGTAAAGATAGAAATATTTTTCAAAATGCAAAATAGTATTAAATGTGATGTCCCGATCAATTTTTATGGATTTGCTATTGGTTAAATACAGAATGCTATTTAGTACATATAATTATTATTATATGTACTAAATGTAAATGTACAGTAAATTATTATTATTATTATTATTATTAAGTACTGTACTATACATATAACAAAAAAATTATATTTTATATAATTCTTTTGCTGTGTTTGTTTAAATTTATGCTTAAATGCTTATTTTGTATAAATCATTTTAAAACAAAATTTGTTATATTTTATTATAATAATGTTTTGTTTTAATTTGTAACCTTCATATATAAGCATAAATGTATTGAAATATAATAAATATAATTAAAAATTAATTTTTATGATTGAATTTTTGCTTTGAATCCTGAGCATGATTTGATTCCTGTTGGCTTTGATTTCTTGGACATGGGGAAAAAATGACAAGTCCTAGGAACAGAAAAGTAGTCAAGACTCAACAAGCCTAGTTATCTACAGTGTATTCACTATTGATAGTTGAATATTCAATAATATGTTTGACTATTGCAATAGACTTAACTACAACTAGTTTATAATTAGTTAGTTTGTATATTCATCTGTCAATAAACAGTATTTTAAGTTTAAAACAACAATTTTGGTTATCAAAATTATACATCATATTTATCTTTGTTATATAATTCATAAGTAATAAAATATACCTTATTTTTTTTTAAATTTATTATATTGTTAATAATACAGAGTAAGTTAGGACAAATATAATTCATTATATTAATGAATTTTTTTATTTTTCAGATCGTGAAGATAAATCAGATGTTGAAGAGTACATAAATGAAGTACAAGCAATTTTAGATATTACTTGGGAAAAACTTAATACTGGATATTGGAAAGATGTAAACTTGTCCTGGAGATTTCTGTATTCCTATGCCACATTGTTTAAGATTTTATTTGTTTTAATAAGAAAAAAAGATAACTATCTGGTAAATTTTATTAATTTTGAATGATTATAATTAATTTTTATAGAAAGATTCAAATGTATTAAAAATTTTCTTGGTTATTTTTTTTCAATTGGTCAAGGTAGAATTTTGTACAATATATGCATGATAAATTTTAATAATAATTTGTAATTTAATGTACTTTAGTATTATATAAGTGGTTGTAATTAAAATATCCCTATTCAATGCTGTCTACAGAGATTGATAGCTGTCCAAATCTGGTATGGTGACATTTTAGGACATACATTTCTGTAAAAAAAAATTAGTACCAAAAATTACCACTGTTGCATTTTTTGCACTGCAAGCAATAAATATTTTATATGTACTGTACAAGACACTCATGCTTCACAAATATTTTAGCAATATGGGGGATGTTCAATATGGTCCTCATCCTGAAGATGTAAAACCTGAAGATGATGAACAATGTGTTCAATGATTGACTTGAGTATAGTTGATCTGTGATATTTTTCACATGCAGTAGAATATCTTTTAAGGCTGCAAAATTTGCAACATGTCCTTGATAAACCACATTGTTTTAAGTGTCATAACAACCAAAAATTACTCAGATTAAGATCTGAAAAACAAGGTGGCCTGGTAGTAAGAAATACACACTAATCATTCTGTTATTGTTGAAATGTTGTTGCAGAAACTACTGTGTGCACTGTTCAATATGTGGAGGTGCCCCATCTTACATAAAAATTGTTGAGTCAAATCACTGTCACTTTTGCAGTTGGGGTAAGACAAAAATGTTGAGCATATCTTAGTATTTCTGGGCCATCACGAGCCCATTGAAACTAGATTCTTTAATGGAGGATGGTCCAAGGATAAATGCGGCTATGAATTCACACCAGACTAACTTCAGGTTAGTGCAGTGATACCTGCTGGAAAAGACACAGGTTTTCCATCCACTGTTCCACTCGTTCCATGAAATCTTCTAGAGTCATGAGACATCCACTTCCATTCTGGCGAAGATCAAGATATCGCTGTCAGTAGCAAACAACTGCTGATTGTGGCTGATTTTATATGGATAACAATGCACCAACTTTCTCAGTCCCTTCCACATTGTGCCATAGGTTACATCCAACTCCATAACATTGCATATGCACTAATAGAGCATGCAATATTATTGACTGTTGAACAACAGCTGTGGTTGCATTTCCAACAATTTGTGATGTGATAGGTTTGTGCCCTTGATTGGGTTGAACGATCTGATGTCCAGTTTTTTTGAATTATGTGATCATTCTTTCAAGAGCTTGTGGAATCAATGAAAGCAAAATTTCAAAAATGTAGTTTACCATTGCTTTTGTTTTCATAAAACAGCTTCATAAGAAATGAATGCATGTTACAGTAAAGTGATGGTTTTGTAGCTGATAAGGATAATTCAACCATTGTGATTACTTTTATACCCAGAACTTGGCTGTAACATATATGCTTAGGCAAAGAAACTACTTTTTGTTGTAATGCCAAAAGTACCATAGTGGTGAGTTTTGATACTAATTTTTTTGCAGAAATGTCTTCTTTATATCCTAAATGTCATCATATAAGATTTGGATTGCATTCAGATTTGCTAAATATCTCTCTAGACAACTTCAATAGGGGTACTTTAATTATGATCACCTATTACATGATCAGATTTTTTTGTTCTGTTGTCGTTGAATAGTTTATTATAGAAATGTTACTACATTTACAAGAAATATTCTTTCTGTTGTTGTTGTCTCTTAGAACAATTAAACTTTTGGTAGTTACTTGAGATAACTACTATGGAAATTAAAGTAGAGAATTTAATTTAAAATGTAGAAAAACATTTTACAACAATAAATTGTAATACTTTACGTACATAAAAAATATTGGGTCAGTGCAAAAAAAAATTGTGGTTTTTAGCCATTAACTTTATTCTAAGCTGTACATACTGTTTTAAAGTTTATTAATTGAAATAAAAACCATTAGAATATACACATTTTTGCCAACAAGTAACAAGTCTATTATTGCAGTAGCATAGAATTCGGAAGTCCTGGAACCAATAAATTCTTTAAAGGTGCTTTGGGCTGCTGCTTGGATGTTGAAAATCTTCTCTTGCAGGAAGTTGTCGAGGTACATGAAAAAGTGATAATCGGTTGGAGAGGGGTCTGGTGAATAAGCTGGGTGAGGAAGAGTTTTGTAGCCCAGTTTATTAAATTTCTGCAATCATTTGTGAGACATGGTTGGGCATAGTTATGGAGAAGAATTGGTTCTTTTTGATTGACGAATCTAAATATATAAAATTACTGGTCCTGACTGACTGACTGATTGATTCATCATCATCCAGAGCAAACCACTGAACCTAAAGAGGTACACAGTTAGGGTATGCCATGAAAAAGCACACTAAGAAGGGATTTTTGGAAATTCCCTCTTTGGGGGGAGAGGATTAAGACTTAACCTGAAGAACAGCTTCTACTGTACTGTTTTAGATGCATTTTATTTTTTGTTTTTTGTTTTCAATCATGTTTAGTCTTCATTGAGTACTTAGGTGTATTAAATTAAATTCGTGCAGGCACAGATAACAGCTAGTGTCTAATATAAATGTTTCAGTTTTTAGTGCGTGTTGTCAATTTCCTGATAGTATTTCTCTGCTGTGATAGTTTTGCCAAGAATCAAGATGTAGTGGATTATTCTACTTGCTGACCATCAAACAGTGATTATAACCTTCTTTTGGTGCAGCTTTGTTTGGGGAAGCATTTTAGTGGTTTGTCGTTATCCAGTCACTGCATGGAATGCCATTGATTATCATACAGAATCCATTTCTTGTCACATATCACAATGTGATCAAGAAATGGATTGTTTTTGTTGTGCAAAAGAAACATAGAGCAGATTTTGTAATGGAAAAGTTTTTGATATTCATTCAGCTTGTGTGGCATCCATTTGTTGAGCTTTTTGATTTTCCTATTTGGTGCAAATGTCAAACTATTATTCAATGGTTAATGTTTAGTTCTTCTGCAACTTCTTGAGTTATTTTGTGGGGATCTGCTTCAATAATAGTCCTCAATTGGTTGTTACCAAACTCAGAAGGACATCTATGATCTTCCTCATCTTCAAGGCTCTTGTCTCCATTACAAAATTTTTGGAACCATTGTTGAGCTGTATGTTCACTGAGTGTCCCCTGGCCAAATGTTTGGTTGATATTGCATGCAATTTCCACTGCTTTATGTCTCATTTTGAACTCATACAATAAAATTGTTTGAATTTACTTTTTCTTTTTTTAATTTGACTATAAAATAAACAAGAATAAACATGAAAACAAAACCATTAGAATAAATCGGTNTACTTATTACAATATAATATAGCCAAACCTCAGTTTTCAAACATAATTTGTTCTTCTATGCATTTGTAGCTAGAACTATTTTAAGATGATCAATACAAAACCTTCTCATTGATTGTCCTCTGGCCAAATGCTTGGTTGATATTGCATGCAGTCTTTATACTGCTTTACGTCCCATTTTGAACTCATAAAATAAAATTGTTTGAATTTACTTTTTCTTTTTTTAATTTGACTATAAAATAAACAAGAATAAACATGAAAACAAAACCATTAGAATAAATCGGTGTACACTGCTTTGTGCTTTAAAATGCTCTATTACATTAATATAATTAAATAAAATTTTAGCCCAAAATAAGCTTCAAAGTTTAAAATAATAAAAATGCAATTATTTTTGCATCAATCTAACATATTATTTTTCAGTCTGCTGCTGCTGCTATCTGTTTGAAATTTTGCTATACAAAAATAGATTTGTTCTATTTAAATTTGTTTCAATTAATACAATATTTTATGATGCAATACTTGCATCTAATATAACAACATTTTATGATTTTGTATGTAATATAATAAAATTACATTGACCTCACTGAATGAATAGTCACTGACATGAAATGTTTGAGTAGAAGCAGACATCTTATGGGAAAATTAAATAGTGTTTGAAACTAAATAAATATATTAACAACAACAAACTGTTTATAAATATTTATTTTGTGACATAATTTAAAATTTGTTATGTTGCTCATTTATTTAGAATGTTGTAATTTAAAAATACAAAATTTTATTATTATTTTACAGAATGAAGCTGTCAAAGTATGTGATTATGGTATTATTATGGGTGCTCCAATTTTAGATAATTTATTGAAAAAAATTGCTTCTGTTTTAGCAAATGATCTAAAACCTGTAAAAGATGATGATTGTGAAATAATTCACGAACATAAAGTAAGTTTTTGTTATTTAATATTGATTGAGTCGGCAATTAATTAATATTGAAATTTGAAATAATAATTCAAATTTAAAATTTTAGAGTAAAAAGAGAACTCATCATAAAACAATTATTATTCAAGATAAAGAAATAATAAGAGTGAAATGTCCTAGTTTAGAAAAATTTAAATCAAGTTACATGGATTTGAAACAACCTGTTATCATTGAAGATGCTATAGATTATTGGCCAGCATTATCTACAAATAAATGGAGGTAAATAAGTCTTTAGTCTATTTAAAATTGTGTCTGTAAAACAGTTTTAAACTTATATTTACCTAATTTAATATTATTTGTCATAAAAGTTAATGAAATAAAAATTGCAGTTTATATTGAAAATAAATTATGAATATTTTAACAGCATATACAACAACCCAATTCATTTAGTATTGCCAAATGATTTGTTAGGTTATTTATTGAGCTATATTAAAGCTAATGTAATAATTACTGGGGAAAATTTAATAATTTGTAATCGATTTCTTGTCAAGTGTTTTGCAGTATATTTTGGGAGATCGAAGCCACTGCCTCTACTATCCAACATTTCAATGCTGCAATGTGTGTAAATTTTATATATTCTCAATTAAACTTGTAGCCTCACAAAAAAAGAATTCAGATATAGTATTTGGAAGTGAGGAGTCAATTTCAATATATCCCAGTAATTGCCAGCTCCCTCTTGTTTTTTCATGAAATAAAAATAATTTGAAGACTGTTATAGGATAATGCACACCAGACGCAATATTGAGCAAGGTAGTCCAAAGGTAAACACCTTGAGATTACCTCGCTCAGGCTCACAGAATTCACGTGGTTTTCAAAATTCAGATGTTGCAATTATGTCAATTAACTTTGTTTGAATGTTATTGTCAATTAACTAATGTTTGAAGTGTTATGTGGCTTCGTTGCTGAGGACAATGTTATGTAGGATTTCTTGAAAACATCATATAAAGGAATCAAACCAGAAAACAAAAACATTGTATGTGATGCCTTAACTAATTGCATTATACAGTCGACCCCCCTATAAGATCATTGATTTTTCCGTTTTATCTGAATTACATGTTGTACGAGTCACTTAGATTTTACAAATACGTGTGCCGGACTGTGAATGGCTCACATATTTGTAAAATCTAAGTGACTCGTACAACATGTAATTCAGATAAAACGGAAAAATCAATGATCTTATAGGGGGGTCGACTGTACAGCAAATTCATGAATCAGGCTTCTGTATAGGTATTAATGGTTGTAGATAAACTTTTATCACAATTTTCTCAAGAATGCCTGAATAGTAGGGACCCTGTGGCTTTGGTAGAGTATAAATACAAGTAAATACAACACATCCACAAAATTTCATTGAAATTGGTGATTATAAACTGTTGGATGGCCCTTGTTAGCTTCAGAAAATAATAATATGTTCAATAATTAAACAGTAACATTTTTATTCAAGAGTTGGATTAGATAGAGGTTACCTGAGCCCTACTGAAGACCATTTTTTTGGGACAAAAGTTGTCTTATATACCATAAAAATATAGAATTTATTTATAACTTAAAAATTAATTAAACTTTAAGTTGCTATAAATTAATTGAAATGTTACATATAACAATGTAAATGTACTTTACATTTGAATAAAAGTAAGATTCATTTTCATTGTGTATTATGAACATAATATTGTAAAGCAAAAATATATTATTTAAGTGATGTTAATATAAGATATTCTTTAATGTTACTATCAAATTATAATCTAGATTTAGAGACAAACTTATAAGAGGTTTTTTTTATTATATTCTTTTTGGTTTGGTTAAAAAAAAAATTCTATTATCAAATTGTTACTTTCTAGTTTTTTTTTATTAATTCTGCTTGATAAATGTCTTTCTTTAGCTTTGGTATTAGGATACATAGCATCTTGGCAAGCAAATTCTATAGATTAAATGTCAATCTATTGAATTCACTTGCTAAGATGCTGTGAATTCCTACCAAAACCAAAGCTAAGGACATTTGCCTCAGGAAGATCCTCAGAACTAATATCTTTATATTCTGTAATGTATTTTGTTTATCATTTTAATTGTTTATAATTATAATGATCAACAGTACCAATAATCATTTTTTATTTTACACATTAAAATGTGCTTTTTTTAATTTATTAAATCATTTATCATATTTAAGGGAAAGTTTTTTAGTTTATATTGTTTTGTAAATTTTATATATTTTTTTATAAACAGATTCACAGATATATTTCTATAGCATAGATTATCTGTTGGAGATAGCTGGATGTCGGCTAGTTCCCATTGAAATTGGAAACAGCTATACAGATAAATTATGGTCCCAGAAGTTAGTTACTTTAGAAGAGTTTATTAAAAATTACATTTTAAAGTCAACAGTAAGTTATAAAATTATATATATAATTATTTAAATACTTTTTTAAAATGTTTTGTATTTTTTAAAGGTAATTTAAATAAATTACTGCAGTTTTTTATGACAGTTTGGGTTGTCTTAGCAAAAGGATATTTATTGATGTTAAATATTGTTTATCTAGTTTTATTAGATACAGAAGTTCACATTAAATTATCATTAAGTAAAATAATTCAGTTAAAAGAATATGATTTGAGCGTATTCTTTAATGTATTATTATAAAAAACAAATAATTAAAAAGTAATATTTATTACATTTGATACAATTCTTTAGTTAATAATTATTATGAATTGTAAACAAGGATGAAAAAGTAATAAATTGCTCTTAGAAGATACTCTTTTATTATGTTCTACAATTTCCAGTTGCTTATCATGAATGCATGGATTTTATGAAACTTGAAGCTTTGTCAATAGATGGCATGTTGAAATTTCTAGTAAATCTAAACATAAGTAGAACTTCAAAATAATTGTACAGTGAAAGAAATATATGAGAAAAGTAACAATAAAAAATGGATGGAAGTTTGCTTTGAACTGTCGTTGAATCTGTTATTGTATTGATTCAACGACAGCTCATATTTGTGTTAATTTCATGGTGTAATAATTTGCTTTTCTATGCTGTGGATCCAAAATCTTTTAAAAATTGCTATGTGTGGCACACGTCATGTGTAACATAATATAGGTTGCATACTCCTGACGTGGAATATAATTTCCATATACTTTGTTGTGTTGTATATAAATTTATAAATTTACTTATAATGATATATCTAAAATTGGAATATTATATTTAGAACATTCAGAATAACTCATAATCTGTATTTTTCAGAATGAAATTGGATATTTAGCACAACATAATCTTTTTGATCAGGTAATCATTTAAATAATTAAATTTTGAAACTTTTTAATATGAATGATACATTTGTATCTTCAGTATTTCTTGTATTTTTAAAATCTCACTTGATTAAAATTAGAATCATTACTGATTTTTATAGTTTGAAATACTTTTTGGAAATGAATTTTATTTTACGTATACTGTAGTATAGCATTTGAACAACAATGTAAAGTATCTCAAACAAAACAAATAGTCTATCAGCATGAATAAAGTAAGTTTGTGTGTATTTCTTGCAAATGATTATTCCAAACATTTAAGAAAATTGCTCTGCATTCACTTTGAGGAAAGAACTACTCAATCAATATAAATACGATGATTGTAGAAGGATTAAGCACATTTCAAAATAAACAGTGTAAAGAACAATTTAAAGCAAAAAATGTTTTTTACTGATGCATTCTGGAAAATGACTTAACACCTAGTTGTACCAGTTTTGGCATTTTGCAGTGGTAATACACTCAACACTGTTCTCACTTATAAACTTTAATTGAGAAGACGTATCACTAACAATAACAGTTTCTGTTGATTCAAACACTCTATAAAGCAACAGTTAGTTAAGTGCTGAAAATAGGGGGGTCGACTGTACAGCAAATTCATGAATCAGGCTTCTGTATAGGTATTAATGGTTGTAGATAAACTTTTATCACAATTTTCTCAAGAATGCCTGAATAGTAGGGACCCTGTGGCTTTGGTAGAGTATAAATACAAGTAAATACAACACATCCACAAAATTTCATTGAAATTGGTGATTATAAACTGTTGGATGGCCCTTGTTAGCTTCAGAAAATAATAATATGTTCAATAATTAAACAGTAACATTTTTATTCAAGAGTTGGATTAGATAGAGGTTACCTGAGCCCTACTGAAGACCATTTTTTTGGGACAAAAGTTGTCTTATATACCATAAAAATATAGAATTTATTTATAACTTAAAAATTAATTAAACTTTAAGTTGCTATAAATTAATTGAAATGTTACATATAACAATGTAAATGTACTTTACATTTGAATAAAAGTAAGATTCATTTTCATTGTGTATTATGAACATAATATTGTAAAGCAAAAATATATTATTTAAGTGATGTTAATATAAGATATTCTTTAATGTTACTATCAAATTATAATCTAGATTTAGAGACAAACTTATAAGAGGTTTTTTTTATTATATTCTTTTTGGTTTGGTTAAAAAAAAAATTCTATTATCAAATTGTTACTTTCTAGTTTTTTTTTATTAATTCTGCTTGATAAATGTCTTTCTTTAGCTTTGGTATTAGGATACATAGCATCTTGGCAAGCAAATTCTATAGATTAAATGTCAATCTATTGAATTCACTTGCTAAGATGCTGTGAATTCCTACCAAAACCAAAGCTAAGGACATTTGCCTCAGGAAGATCCTCAGAACTAATATCTTTATATTCTGTAATGTATTTTGTTTATCATTTTAATTGTTTATAATTATAATGATCAACAGTACCAATAATCATTTTTATTTTACACATTAAAATGTGCTTTTTTTAATTTATTAAATCATTTATCATATTTAAGGGAAAGTTTTTTAGTTTATATTGTTTTGTAAATTTTATATATTTTTTTATAAACAGATTCACAGATATATTTCTATAGCATAGATTATCTGTTGGAGATAGCTGGATGTCGGCTAGTTCCCATTGAAATTGGAAACAGCTATACAGATAAATTATGGTCCCAGAAGTTAGTTACTTTAGAAGAGTTTATTAAAAATTACATTTTAAAGTCAACAGTAAGTTATAAAATTATATATATAATTATTTAAATACTTTTTTAAAATGTTTTGTATTTTTTAAAGGTAATTTAAATAAATTACTGCAGTTTTTTATGACAGTTTGGGTTGTCTTAGCAAAAGGATATTTATTGATGTTAAATATTGTTTATCTAGTTTTATTAGATACAGAAGTTCACATTAAATTATCATTAAGTAAAATAATTCAGTTAAAAGAATATGATTTGAGCGTATTCTTTAATGTATTATTATAAAAAACAAATAATTAAAAAGTAATATTTATTACATTTGATACAATTCTTTAGTTAATAATTATTATGAATTGTAAACAAGGATGAAAAAATAATAAATTGCTCTTAGAAGATACTCTTTTATTATGTTCTACAATTTCCAGTTGCTTATCATGAATGCATGGATTTTATGAAACTTGAAGCTTTGTCAATAGATGGCATGTTGAAATTTCTAGTAAATCTAAACATAAGTAGAACTTCAAAATAATTGCACAGTGAAAGAAATATATGAGAAAAGTAACAATAAAAAATGGATGGAAGTTTGCTTTGAACTGTCGTTGAATCTGTTATTGTATTGATTCAACGACAGCTCATATTTGTGTTAATTTCATGGTGTAATAATTTGCTTTTCTATGCTGTGGATCCAAAATCTTTTAAAAATTGCTATGTGTGGCACACGTCATGTGTAACATAGGTTGCATACTCCTGACATGGAATATAATTTCCATATACTTTGTTGTGTTGTATATAAATTTACTTATAATGATATATCTAAAATTGGAATATTATATTTAGAACATTCAGAATAACTCATAATCTGTATTTTTCAGAATGAAATTGGATATTTAGCACAACATAATCTTTTTGATCAGGTAATCATTTAAATAATTAAATTTTGAAACTTTTTAATATGAATGATACATTTGTATCTTCAGTATTTCTTGTATTTTTAAAATCTCACTTGATTAAAATTAGAATCATTACTGATTTTTATAGTTTGAAATACTTTTTGGAAATGAATTTTATTTTACGTATACTGTAGTATAGCATTTGAACAACAATGTAAAGTATCTCAAACAAAACAAATAGTCTATCAGCATGAATAAAGTAAGTTTGTGTGTATTTCTTGCAAATGATTATTCCAAACATTTAAGAAAATTGCTCTGCATTCACTTTGAGGAAAGAACTACTCAATCAATATAAATACGATGATTGTAGAAGGATTAAGCACATTTCAAAATAAACAGTGTAAAGAACAATTTAAAGCAAAAAATGTTTTTTACTGATGCATTCTGGAAAATGACTTAACACCTAGTTGTACCAGTTTTGGCATTTTGCAGTGGTAATACACTCAACACTGTTCTCACTTATAAACTTTAATTGAGAAGACGTACCACTAACAATAACAGTTTCTGTTGATTCAAACACTCTATAAAGCAACAGTTAGTTAAGTGCTGAAAATGCATTCTCAGTGGGATTAAGGAAATTTGGTAGTGTGGTTCAGTGATAGATCTTATATGTTAATATGCAGTTGACATTGTTTATAATGAAAAATACTCCTTTGTCATCCACAACAACCATTAATATATGAATTTATAATGAATGAAATTATCAAAAACTGGGTTTGCCAACTGCAAATATTTTATAGTACACCAATCCCACCAAATATGTTGCAGCTATAATGTACATTCAGTCCTTGTTGCCTGCCTATGATCCTTGCACATCTCTTCCCTCTCTTAGATCTTCTACACTGTAATTGCATATACAAGTTAAACCCAGTTTTATCAATTAATTAATTAAGATTAAGTGCACATTAACAGCTTCCTGATGAAATTAAGCTGCATATCTGACTCTTTTTATTTGATAATATCCCTTCTGTTTTTGTTAGCTGGAATTCTGAACATTTTACATAATTACAGCTAGATGGTATACAGCATGCAATAGTTCTAGACTGAATGTGCTGTAGCTGTTGATGTAACCATTCATTTATTTATACTAACAAGGGGATGACGTGATGTTGGGGTCACCGATTTTGATCAAACTCTGTGAAGTTATAGTGCATCCCCAACGACTGACATGTGCCAAGCAGTAATGCACAATACTCAAAATTAAATGAGAAAATTGAGGTTGAAAACTGCAAATCACTTAAAACCTGAAACAATAAACATTTTTGCAGTGTGCACATTGAATAAATGTAGATTTTTACAATAAGAAGATTTACATATGTCACTGGAAAACCAACCTTAATTAATGTTTAAAAATACTTCTCCATCTTTAACTATTAGTAATTTGAAGGAGAATAATTAATAATGTATTTACATTCATACATTGGAAAATATTAGAGCACTTGATTACCACCTTTGCAACTTCTGAAATTGTTGAAGAACTTTCAGCTATAATTAGGTCTTGATTTTGAAGGATGCTTTCACAATATGTAAATTTTGTAATATTGTTGTGCAGTGATTCTTCTGCAGAACAAATTTCTGTGCTGTCAATGTTAGCATGAGATATCAAAGCCATCTTTTTGTTCTTTAGTGAACAAAGATGCACTTATAGATGCATTCAGGTTGAACAATGACTTTGTTGCCAGAGTAAGTACATACTCTACATCAGGGGTGGCAACAAGTCAATCGTGATCAATCGGTCGATCGCTTGCGATGTCTTGAATTAATGTGTTACACTTGTAACCGAACGTAACGCGCAAACGCAAACATAGTGATATTGGACCACCACGTCCTCCCTCAGATGCGGTTTTGTTGGTCCATGTGCTATTCATTTGCATACAGTTGTAAAAGGGGAATAAGAAATGTAGACAAAGGATCGTAAAAAAAAAAAATGGGAAGAGGGACAGAGAGAGTGGTCGGGACACGGTAGAAAGAGGAAGGGTGAAGTGGTGGTCCCCGAAAGTGACAACGTTGAGTTTCAATTTTTCTTCTGTTTACAATGTTNGAGTTATTTTAGAACGTAACACAAACTTTCTACCAGCTTCATTAGATGTTTTTTGAAAGGACAGGTGGTAAAGGAATCTTGTGGCAGAGCTAACAATGTTAAGATATAGGCATGAGCACATTTCTGCCTCAAACATATCTTGAAGTAATTCAGGTTTGATTTAATGAGGGGATGGCATGATGTTGGAGTCGCCAATTTTGATTAAACTCTGTGAAGTTATATTGCATCCCCAATGACTGACATGTGCCAAGCAGTTAGACACAATACTCAAAATTAAACAAGAAAATTGAGGTTGAAAACTGCAAATCACTTAAAACCTTTAGAATGTCTGCTATTTGTAAAGTGGCTGATGGCTTATTGGAGGGGCATGTCAGTTTCATAATGAAAAATATCAAGAAAATTATAATTTTCTTGATATTTTTCATTATGAAACTGACATGCCCCTCCAATAAGCCATCAGCCACTTTACAAATAGCAGACATTCTAAAGGTTTTAAGTGATTTGCAGTTTTCAACCTCAATTTTCTTGTTTAATTTTGAGTATTGTGCCTAACTGCTTGGCACATGTCAGTCATTGGGGATGCAATATAACTTCACAGAGTTTAATCAAAATTGGCGACTCCAACATCATGCCATCCCCTCATTAAATCAAACCTGAATTACTTCAAGATATGTTTGAGGCAGAAATGTGCTCATGCCTATATCTTAACATTGTTAGCTCTGCCACAAGATTCCTTTACCACCTGTCCTTTCAAAAAACATCTAATGAAGCTGGTAGAAAGTTTGTGTTACGTTCTAAAATAACTCCAAAGCATTATAAGGTTAGTGCGATACATTTATGGTAGAAAGTTTACCTTTTCACCTTCAATGCTTTTGCAACATATAAAATGTCTTCTGGATTCAAGAAACATCTACAACTCATTGTCAAAAGCCATTGCTATCATCTGCTTTGTCATCCTTTGTTTTTTACCACTAGCTTATGGTCTTCTCTACATGACTATGTGCTGCTTTTCTATTGTCATTATTTATATATCTTCGTAGTTGAGGCTGTATTTGCATATGCACTGTGCATATTGTTTTAACAGTAGGAAATTTGTGTTCATGCCAAAAGCTACTTGCATCACATCCACAGACAATTTTACAATACTATTTCTAAATATTTAAATTGACATTCTATTTGACTATATTTTTTATCACATGACATATGTAAATTTTTGATTGCATAATGATTTACAACTGTTTTGATTCATTTGAATGCGAACATTGCATATTGTGCATGCTGGATCAGTTTGAATGGAATTGGATATATTGCAGCTTATATTTTCTTAGATATACTATCGTAATTTGCTTCGATATTCCTATATATTTGAATATACAGGAATATTCAAATATTCATTAGTTAGTTAACCACTTGCAAATGCTATATTGTATGATAATTATTTAATATGATAAATACTCCAGATTGGTCAGCTTATTTATCTTGTGTAAGTTAATCAACCTAGAATTTTACCAAATCAAATAACTTAACCACAGGATTTGTTCAAAGACATTTATAAATTCATTTGTTTCTACCATACAAATAGTCCGATAGAAATCTGACAATATTTAGCCAGTTGATTTTTAATTCCTTTTCCTCTATAAATAATGTTTAATTAGGACATTCTTATCTACTGATCGTCATAAGTTCAGATACATCTCGGTATGTTAATCAGTAGATAATATCTGACACAAAAACATTAAAAGTTACTGCTGTCAAAATATGAATACATTTAGAATTGTAATAATTTTATTTTAATTAATATATTTAGTATATTGTTGAACAAAAATTTATTATGTATCTTACACAAATATCAATATATGTCCATTGGATAAGATATACAGAAAACTATTATTAAGCAATTACATAGAATGTATAACAAATGCAACTTTTTAAACATGATGTTAATTGTCATAATAATTACAGTAGCATCATAATGTTTAAAAAGCTGTGTTTTCTCTGTATTGTGTGTAATCCTATGTCCAATGCATGTAAATATACCAGAAATATCCAGCACAAATTATACTTTGTTGAAAATGTTTGTTTTTTTCATTATTTTTAGTAAGTATAATTTGTGCTGGATATTTCTGGTATGTTTACGTGCATTGGACTTAATTATTCCACTTTTACTGAGTATATATTTATTGTAATCATATGTAACTGTTATCACAATTAACATCATGGTTGCAGAAATTTACTGTAGCATATCCAATGATTGCTGCAAGGTTATTGTTATTTAACCTTTTTCATGGCTTGACTTTAGTAGGTTCAATAGATTTCAAATGGTCTTATTCTTTTGCTTTGCGTCCAATATTTTTACTTTCGTTTTTTCAAATACAGTATTCTACACTTATTAAATAAGTTTTTTCCTTTTTTAAATATAGATCTTTATAAGAGATTTCATTGAAAAGTGCTTTTGTTACTAGTAAATATTATTTATTTCCATAAAGTTGATTTGAAAATTTTTTAGATTTAAATATCTTGTTAAAGTGAACTCATGTAAATGGAGGAATTAAGAACAATCTAATTAAGAACATATCAGATGCTGAGATGACTATATGTAAAACAAGAAGGTTGTTGGCCATCATATTTTTGAAAGAATTTTCATTGTTAGAGTTTATGAAAAGGTTGAGATAATGTAAAATACTCTGAAAATTTGTTTAATAATGCTATCTGGTATCAATAAATATAAAATGAAACTTGATCTATATTAGTTTTCTAATATTTCTCTGCTTTGAAGTTATTTTCATTATAATATCTCATGGGATATCTTGTAAATTTATCTACTCTAAAGCAAGAACTTAGTATTTGGAAAAAACTTCTATAATTTAAAAAGTTAGCTTATAGTAGTTAGTAGCATTACATTTAAGTTTCAAAGTCATTAATTGATGAAAATAAATTTATTTATTATACACTACCACTATATTTTTTGAAGTAGAAATCACTTGGTTTTTTTAGAAAGAGGAAACAATTGAGTGTTAATGATAAAAATTCCCTTTAAAAGCATTTCCCTTTAAGTGTGGTTTTTGTTTGTTCTAGTGTAAATATATGCTTTTTAGATTTTATTCATAAGAAATTTTCAGAAAAATGTATTTTCTTTTTTTAAAAAGACTCATTCAGAACGTATAATCAATGATGATAAAATTAAGTTTTTTTAAAGGGGATTGAATACATGATTAAATAATTAGACTGATAAGGATAAAATTTGAATAATTTTACATAAATTATTTATTTATTTCTGTTGCAAAATACTTTTTTCATTTTCTATAAAGGAGAGAAATGAATAATTATATTTATAATAATTTAATTATTCATTTCTCTTCTTTTGAAAAGTTACTTAAACAGTGATATCATTGTAAAAATTATATGTATAATGTTTAAAAACTTTTTCATTATTTCAGATTCAAGAACTAAGAAACGACATTGCAATTCCTACTTATTGTTCTCTTGCTGAGTCTGAAGATGAAATAGACATAAATGCATGGTTTGGACCAGAGGGTACCATTTCTCCATTACACCATGATCCAAAACATAATCTTTTAGCCCAGGTATTTCTGTTTCATTAAATCAAAGCTTTAAAAATATTTTTAAATTAATTATTATCTGATATATAATTATTTAAAATACAAATACAGTGGTGCCTCCTGTTTTGAATTTAATTCATTCCAGAGGCCGTTCAAACTATGAATTGTTTGAAGTCCAGATCAATTTTCCCCATTAGAAATAATGGAAAGTGAATTTATTAATCCATTTCAACAACAACATAAAGCAGCAAATACACATAATTTAAGGTAAACATAAAATTAAATGCATGCATGAAAACAATAAATAACATGAGCAATTATTTATTGTGACATTGTCACAATGCCAAGCTGCTATTTGTAATTTATTTAATTTAAAATATATGCTCTCCACCTCAAATTAGTACTGTAGTTACTTGCCCTTATACATCATACTTTTCCTTTAACAAAAGAGTCATGCCAGTGATCTATCTAACATCTTTCAGGGGAAAATTTTTGAATTGAAATAACACACCTGCTGGTTTACGTCGGAAGTTCGTATATAGTTAATCGGGGCCTCCTGCCCCTAAGGTTTCCCTGTATGGTCTTGGATTTCATCTATCTAACTCTGTTCTCGAGGTTAAGGAAAGATGGATGGATTACGGTGGAAATTTATAGGTCTACAATTTTTTCAAATTGCATTTACTGGTCACGCACTGTCAACTTCAGCATCTTAAACATGGCCACCAGATCTGCCATGTGTACCCCTTTCGTGCTTTGTGATAAGTTCCTTTTTTATCTCAATTATAACTTTTCTTTCAAACATTGTTGCTTACACACACTTCTTGGATGCCATGGTTAATAAAAAATATGCAAAATAACTTTCACTTAAGTTATTAAATTTAACACATTATTGCTAATGTGTGATTGTATTCTTAGTTTAGAAGCTTATTTTAAACTTTTTACTTTGTGTTTTGTTTGAATAAAATCAAATTGAAATGACCTATCAGGCATATTATGCTTTGAGTTTTGGAAAGGATAAAAAGCTATACAAACAATAAAAAAAATATTTGTAATGTATATGGGGAACTCCTAAACTTTGAATATATCAAATCCAGTTTAAAAAGTTCTGTTCAGGAAATTTTGAACTAAAGAATATACCAAAAATAAAGTGAAAAAAAGCACTGTAAACATACAAGCATATGACAAGAGCACGAGGTGATTTGAGTGTACAACAGTTTGTTTACACTTTGAGTGTAGTTCGAACTCTGAAGTGAATTTTTGTCAAAAATTTACCATTCAAAATATGAGCTTCCACTGTACTTGAAAATCAAAGTTTTTAGATTATTTCCAAATTTTTAAAATTAATTTGAAATTTTCTCTCAAAATAATTTGCAAATTATTTTAAATAGGTTATGGGAGAAAAATATGTTCGTTTATATGATGAAGAAAATACTCCCGTGCTTTATCCACATCCAAGTAAATTGCTTGATAATACCAGTCAGGTAATTATGTATAATTTACATATATAAAGGGTCTTCCAAAAAGAATTACCATTTTAAATTATTGTAATGTACTGTACATTAAAGCATTGGAAAGCTATCAAAGTTTCATTTTGCCCATTACAATTTTTTGATGTGTGCACTAGGTACACACATCAAAAAATTGTAATGGGCTTGAGAAACCAATACTCAGTTCTTCCTATGCTTACTTCAGCACACCTGTTCTCTCTCTTTCCATAGCTGCCACAATTCTACAGCTTCTGCAGATTACTTATGTTGCACAATGATGAGTGATTCTGACTTTGCAAACTGCAAGACAAAATGCCTTCTCAAATGCAGAGTTGCTATTTTTATTTATGGCATTTTATAGAGGTAGTAGACAACAAGACATTTGAATGCACATTAACATAATTACAGTAAGAAGTGTGCAATCATTTTGGAGGACCCTGTATTTATAGCTGTAATTTGTATTTGTAAGTAGATTATTATATACACACAAATTTGAAAAACTTCAGTTCTTTGTGAATGTACTTATATGAGTAAAATATGTTGTTTTTATTTCTTAAAGTTTAAAATTTAACTAGTAAGATCTTTTATTTTCAATTATCATAAATATTCATTCTCTGGTTCCTATAAAAGAACATCCAATATGTTTTCCACATAATATAAACTGCTGTACATAAATTGAAATATTGTTTTTTAATTATCATTATCATCAAAAAACAGAAGAGCTATATATATGTAAAATAATTAATTAAAACACTAAGATTAATTTTGGAGAAGACAGAATTATGAGTAAATAGATTTATAGTCTCAATTTGGTTAGATATGTTTGTATGTTTATGTTAATATCCAGAAATAACGATATCTTGTCTAACATATGATCATCTCAGTATAATTGCTGCATAGAAAATCAAAAATTATTAAATGTAAGTTTTTCTTAATTGAGTGATATGTATTGAATTTTCTCTATCAATTGGTAATTTGACTTCAAAAAACAGTTTGAAACACTAATAAATGAAGTGTAAAAATTCCAATGTTATAATTAAAACTAGGTTTTATTGTTAGGATTTCACCAACACCATAATAATAGTTCTAGACATTGCTATTAACCAAACACGCTATTTTATTTTTGTGCTCTTTATGTATGTGACATGTGTTTATTATGACTGTTTAAGGTTGTGGTATGCTGCATGTGCAAAGAAAGACTAGGCACAATAGGTACCCTATCCATTCTCCACTGGTGTATTTTTTGGACAAGTTCAAGTTCAGTCATACCTCGGGTTTCAAATGTCTCTGATTACGAACAATTCAGTTTACAAACAAAATTTTAAATGCCGTGTTTGTCCCAGTTGCCAAACAAGCTACTAGGGAAGGTGATATATTACATTGACATAATTAAATAGCAAATAAAGTAGTCAGTTTGTGCTAAAAACTTGCAATCTGATATGTGTGTAGTCTTGAAATTTATAGGAAATGTCACTTCGTGCACATTTTTAAGTATAATGTCTTTTAAAATTACCTTCTGTAGCTTTCATTTTTATAACGTCTTTTATGGCAACCATACACTCTTTGGATAATGGAAGAGACAACCAAATTATGTTGGAATAAATTCAATGTCTATAATGTCACTGGTTGTAATTGTGAATGTTTTCATGAGTATCTAATAATGCTTGTAAAGTGTTAATGAAAGATATAACACAAAGCTATTTGCAACTTGTTGTTTGTTATATTTAAATGTTATTTGTAGGATGCTGTTTATTCTTACATATAACAACCCTATCTATGTTCCATAACAATGAGGTGTATGAATTTGTCATGTAATTGTCAATGTGTCTGTCTATCTTTCCAGTTTTGTGGTGGTGGTGTAGTAGGTATGGATGATAAATACATTCATATCTTGAGTCTATTTCATCCATTAGCATGATTTTCCAACCTTGGTGGTCAGTGTCTGGATTGGTGTTTGTGAATAAGATGATTTGAGTATGTTTGTGATGCTTGGGCCAGTGCTGCATTCACCATTAGTTGTCAAAGATGACTGTGGCAATTTTTTCAATTGCTAGCTTCTGCCTAATCTATAAACACAGATCTTATTTATCTAGTGATGTTTAAGCCTGTATTAAGATGAGAATATGCCACAACCATTTTTTTCCTTCTCACAGAAGTGAAATTTTTAAAACTCTTTTTACCTTGTGGATACAGAGGACTTTAATCAAGCCCATGTGGGTTCATCCAGGTGGCGATACATCTCGGACGAACACCCTGAAACAACTCCTGGGGCAATTTGGCCCATCCAAATTCATTCTTGTGTCCCACAGAGCAGTAGACTGACATCTTACATGGAGACAGTGGGATGACTGATCAGTTAAGTCCACGTGCTTTTATAAACACCTGGTTTTAGGTGTATATGTATCAGCTTCCTGGATATAAGAAATAGATGCTGTTTACTACTGGATAGACTGGATCAGATGCTGCTTGTGTGTTGCTCTGCTTCATTTCTTCCCTATAGACTATTGCATGGGTGGTTTTTCAAGCATATTTTTATGGTTAGAACTAGTGAGCCCTCTCGACAAGGTGGTGACTATCAAGAGAGTTGACCGCTAGGAGTCAGAAGTGTTAAGTGCTCTGAGTTTAATTGCAATTTCTTGGATATAAAGTGTATTATAGTGGTGTAAAAATATATCACTGGAATCAGGAGGACAAGCACTCTCTGTGGGTATTGTTATCTTTCTATTCAATGGACTTTTATTCGTGTTATTGAAGCCTGAAATTTTGGACTTGGGCACCGTCGCGGATATATGCTCTATGAAGTGGTATTATAATTATAATTATTTTGTTGGTGTGTTATTTATTAACTGCGGAAACACAATTTGTTTTCTCTTGTCGCAGAGGCCAATGTGCACTTTTTCACTCTGAACAAAGGGCTTTGTTCCCTACCACGTGGTGGAGGTAGTCATTTAGCGTGCTGTAGCCGTTCAGCATTTGGATTACTGTTGCTATCCCATTGGGGACTTTCTGTATATTAACTTATCGCATCGGTTAAGAGACTTTGGACTATACAGACTGTCTAGTGCTGATTGAATCTACAATATGGAAGGTATTACCGAACCTCAGGATGTTGTCAATTCCCTCAAAGAAACTATTCTCGCAGAGGCCAATGAGCACTTTGTCAGAATTCTGGACCTAGTGCCAGAAAATCAATGAAAAAATGCAAGTGAGCCTTTCCCAAACTTCCTTCCACTAAAGAGTGCAAGGAAGTTTGGGAAAGGCTCACTTGCATTTTTTCATGCCTTGGTCAATTCCAAGGCATCCTGAGGGAGGTGAGATTAAACTCAACAGTTAACACTAGCTCTCATCCACACCTCCACTCAAAATCAGTTCCTTCCTATTCTGATGTTGTGAAATCAATCGCCAATCAAAGTACAACAACAAAAACTATCAACCAATCCATCAACAACAAAATAAATAAAGAGGGTAGCAGGAGTAGCTATGCCTTAATTATTTATCCAAACCAGGAGGAGGACAAACAACTAGATATGAACAAGCTTACATGGGTTTATTTTTCTCATTATATTTTTGGTAAGTTGAAGATCAAGGTAAAAGCTATTAAGGAAGTCAAGGTGACGGGGTTTGCTTTTGCACTGGAAGTCAGGTGGATGCTGAAACGCTAGGACAAGCCATACAGGCTCTCCCAGACATTGGAAATTACATACGCACTAAAATATCTGAGGGAAGGAGACCTCGTGTCATCCTTCCGAATGTTCCTAACTCTGTCTTTAGCTGAGGAGGAATTAATTGATTTGGTTTACAATCAAAGCAAATCTTTTAGTATCATTACCAAAGAAGAGTTTTTAGCTATGACCAGAATAAGCACCAGACTGGCAAGAGCCAATATTAAGGACAATTGTCGGCACATCATGCTCTCAACCACTCCACTAACCAGAAACATAGTCGTCAGGCTGATGACTATGTACACATCCACTGGGTGCTACCAGTGCTGTGAATGTATGGAAAAACAAAGGTGTAGTCACTGCTCCAAAACACACAGATTCTCAGAATGCAACTGATGAGAACAGCCCCATGCTGTATCAATTGTAAAAACACCAACAAGGAGCTAACATCAGATTGGAGACATCCTACGACCCACAATGCTTACGACCCACAATGCTTACGACCCTCAATGCTCACAGATAAAAAAGATAAGGGAGCAAACTCTAAAACAAGACAAATTATGGGTACTAGTCTTCAAAATAACAACATTAAGGTCCTGCAGATAAATTTACAAAAGTGTAAGGCAGCTATCACTGAATCTCTTCAACAGGCCTACAGTCTTCAGGCCGACATTTTAATCATCCAAGAACCCTATTGTTTCAATACGAAAATTACTCTATTTGGTCAACTGAAGACCCTATACTATTCAGATAATAGTAGCAACCCTCTTAACAGCATTGTTATTACTAATAAAAACATCGATGCTCAAATTCTTTCAAATCATAGTAACAGGAATTTTACTACTATTAGCGTCACAAATCACAGCTTCAATCTTACTGTCATTTCTATTTATTGCCTTCCATCAGAAGACTTGAAGACTCCCTTAAATTCTTTACAATCCACTATTTGTCAACAAAACCATCTACCGATTCTTATCTCTGGGGACTTCAATGCAAAGTCCCCAAACTGGCACAGCCCTACTGAGGATCCACGTGGCTACTTGGTCAACGAGTTTCTTAACAAACTGGACCTCCATTCCTTGAAATGAGTACTCTCCCCAATTATTCCTCTTCTACTGGCATAAGTTGGGTTGATATCTGTATTGAGCTTTTCAGTTGGTTCTTCCATAGAGAAGGTTCGTTTCGTCTGCATTTGGTGAGTACTGTTCAGAAATTTGTCTGTTAGATGTCACAGCTCCTTATAACTATTAAATAATTTATAAATTAGTCAAGGGCAAAGCGTAATATTAAACACTAGAAATAAATTAGAATAAATGGTATACCTGGGCAACTTAGGAATAATTGTAGTCAGGATGGATAGTCATAAAGAGAATTTCATACCTACCAAGGAAATATTTAATGAAGCCATACATGCTGCTATGGATGCTCTTAAATGAGAACAGAAATCTAAAAACCGAGATCAAAGACTGTATCCGCATCAACTTAATCAGGGCTTAGGACACGTATGATGTCCTGCAGAATAATTACGATAAACTAGAAGAAAAGCTTAAAAACTCCCAGTCCTTGCAGCTGAGAACTCAAAGTCCCACTAACCACCCCCTGCCCTGTCCTTTATATAAGTCCCCAGAGGGACTTGGGTGCCCTCTAGTTATAAGAAATTTTAGTCAAACTGGGTAGGGCGAAAATTGGTATTTTTTGGTTTATTATCACATTTTTATAGGAAATTTTATTAAAAAACGTTTCTTTTCTGACACTTTGGATGGTTTATGTGGCTCCCGTGAGCCTGGTTCTTCTCGAAACTCTCCTCTTCCAGGATTCTCCCCCTGGTGTTCGATCCGCCCCTTTGCCAGGTGCCTGCTTGCTTCCTGTAGCCCAAATCCAACCAGGCTTGGATCTTTTTCTTAGCACTAACGCTTTTGTATTATTTCCTGTTTGGGCTTGCTGATTATTACCAACACTCATAAATTTTTAAAATCATTCCATCACCTTCTAGGCTCTTTTCCAGCCTCCGCCTGGTGGCTGGTTTAGTAAACTCAATTATTAGAATTTCCCACCAGTTACATTAAATAGGCTCTCAACTCTATACTATTACATTTATTAAATGTATCTTTGCATTGCATCCACCAATTACTATTTCAAATATCCTACAAAATAATAATAATCTTTTGCAGGCTCTCTTCTTCCCTTCCTCTGTTGGCCAATTTTGTAAGTTCTAATAATAATAAAACACACTTTTAAAGCTCACAACTGTTATATTAATAAAACTTAGTCAACTAAACCTCACTACAAAGCATTTTATTAAATAAACTTATTATTTCTTAGGCTTTCTTCCAGCCTCCTCCAGATGGATGGTTTAGTTAACTCAATTATTGGAATTTTTCATCAGTTACATTTTCAGGCTCTCCACTCTATACTATTACCATATAATTAATATTACTTCAAACAGGGTCCTCCAATCTCCCATTTAAAATACTCTACAAAATAATATTACTATTTTTCAGTCTCTCTTCCACCCTCCTCCTGCTGGCCAGTTCTGTAAGTTCTAATAATAATAATAAGCCCCTCAAATGCACTTTTAAAGCCCACAGGTATTACATTATTAATTCACAGGCAATTAATTCTCACTACACATCTCACTGTCACCATTACAAAGCTCTCCACAAAATTAAATATATTATTCTCCCCTGTTGCCTGTGCAGGGGTCTTCTTTTACTACTACTAGGCGTGGTCCCCAGTCACCTTACCCTCTTACCTCTCCCTAAAACACATTCAATCACTTCATAATTATTGTTTTTTAGTAGGGTTGCTCCTGTCCCTCTTTCAAACTTTCTAACTTCCTACCCAAAAATTCTATCATTATCCTCCATTGGACCATAAAGGCCTCCTGCATTCTACTCAGAAGCATCACACCCTCACCCCAACCTACTATAATATAAATTAGCTAACCTAAAATAGTTATCCCCACCATTAATCTTAAGCATTTTATTGTGTACTAAACAAATAAACTTAACTCTAGTAATATACTATCTATTAAATAACTAGAATAATACATAACGACAATTATTATACTTTAGCAAGATATATTTAATTCTATTCTAAGTATTGTTATATATTAATGTTTCATCTTACTTATCCCAAGTTTCTTCACGGATGGTTCCTGCGTCCCTCCCCACTGGCCTTTATCTATATAGATGGCTCTAAGTCAGATAGAGGGGGATGGGCTCCTCCATCATGGTGATCTACAACAACATAAACGTCTATCAGGCCCAGTATATGCTGGCTCCCCACTGTACGGCTAACCAAGTAGAATCACTGGCTATCAGGAATGTGCTAAGATGGATCAGGAATAATGCCAACTCTAAGTACTACAATAAAGCAACCATTCTTACAGATAGTAGAGTCATTCTCCTTCAACTTAAAAACCTCAACATGAAACTGTCCAGACCCTTCTTCTACACGTGAAGGATATAGACTTCAAATTATATGGGTGAAGGGTGACTCTGGTATTCCTGGGAACAAGAGGACAGATCTGCTGGCTCGCTCCGCCCAATACGTGCAACCACTGCACTTACAGCAATATTCCTCCCACCTGGTTCTCCAATCAGATTAATCTGGCCTGCTGGAAGTACTGGCAGGAAAGGTGGAACGCCAGCTCCACGGGTAGGTTAACCCACAAGTTTATTCCCGACACTATAATCAGAAGGACAAGCATTTGCTCCCCTCCTTTCATCTTACTCAAATGTTGACCGGTCACGGCAACTTTAGTAGCTACCTCTTGCAGTTCCTCCATAAGGGCAGTGGACAGTGCATTTGCTCTCTCAACGAGATGGAGGAACCATTCCATATTATCTACTACTGTCCTCACTATACTTCTCAAAGGAGGAGTCTCATTAATACCGTTCTCACTGAAGGGAATCATTGGCCCTGCGAGCTCAAGACTTTTGTAAATAACAAGACCATCCACAGTGCCTTTAGGGACTTTGCCCATAGCATCAACTTGCTGCACTAATTGCCACACTTGTTGTTCGGTCTCCCATCTGTAATCTGGTACTTTATCACTTCCACGGGGTTTTGTCATCACACCATCTAATTGGGCAACTAATCGTCATGTGTCTTGCTTTTCAACTTTTTAGTAAATGCTTCTTTATTATAATTGTGTTGCCGATGCCCCGGTTCCTATGTTTTCTCTTTTCCCTCTTTACTATCTCACTTTATATTCCTCTTCAACTTCACATCTTCCTTCTGTTTCATATTTATTTGGGCTATACCTATGAGTGCGGCCCTTTAACATTTCTATTGTATTGTATCAAGAGAGTTGTTTTTAAATAAATTATTTATTTGATTCTTGATATTTTAAATGATATATATTTTTTGTTTATTACAGGTTGATGTTGAAAATCCAGATTTAAACAAGTTTCCGAAATTCAGCTCAGGCCAATATCAAGAATGTATCTTAAAAAGTGGAGAAGTTTTGTACATCCCACCTAAATGTTGGCATTACGTTCGTTCTCTTTCTGTCAGTTTTTCAGTTAGTTTCTGGTGGCATTAATTCTATAACTGAGAATATTTAACTTTTACCAATTCTAAATATCATATTTACAAATTTTTATGTAAATATTCTATGCAGATATTCATGTTTATTACAATATTGTAATTTATTGTTTTATATTAAAACACAATGATTTTACTAGATACTAAGAAGGCAGCAAGCAGTTTGATTTTAATAATAAACATGTTCTTATAGTGCATCGAGTGAAATACTCCGATTCATTAATACAAAATTTCACTGTTATAATTAATAGTGAATTCATATTCATCCTTAATATTTGTATGTCTGTAATACTACATATTTCGTAGATTATATATTTATATCTAGAATTTTATTTTTAGCTATTTTTCTTAAAGTTTTTGGCATCACAAGAAGCAATTTCAAACATTTTTAACCATAATTGTGTCTTTTACCCTAATAGGAATCTAACAGTACTAATTAGTTGATTAATTTCAAGAATATTTCCTTGAAAATTTTCAGAATTAAAAATGACATCTGCATATATTTTTTGTGACAAAATTTTGTTATATTTGAAAGGAAAAAAAAGTGTTTAATTGAAATATCAATTTGCCACACACGCCAAAGAAAAAATAAATTGAATTATTTGGTTGTTTTGAAAATAGTTATTTATTGTAAACTTGGCTTTTGTCTAAATTTATGTAAAAATTGTACAATAAACTGTAGAACTAAGATTTGACAAAAAAGTTCATAAAAAGACAGTCTGATGGAGTACAAATGACTTGTAGATTTCAAACTTCCCTGCATCTATAACTCTATAAATTTATATAATGGTAGTTCTGGTAAATTACATCATATAAATGTGACTTTTTAAACAGGTTAAAAGAAGACAGATTGAAATTTCTGGATTCAAACAGTTTAAGTTGGAGTAAAGATTTCTGTCATTTTACCAAACTTTGACAATGTGTGAAATTATTTAACACTAATTTGGCTGCCATCATTGAGTAATCTGTAATTAGCCATATTATTTGATTACTTGGTCTATAATTATTGCTAATTTACAATATTATAAGAATAATTTCTCTGAATAAAAATGTTTCATAACACTGGTTTTCATAAACATGGTAAAACTTTAGTCAGTCAACTAAACATTTTCTGAAATTAATATGAATGATGGCAGAGTTTAAAACTCCTAACTGGCAATTAAAGGATAGAATTTAGTAAAAATTCCAAAAATATTTAAAATAACTTTATAGACATTCAAAATAAATAGGTTTAGTTCTAAAATTTATGTCTGTCCTAAATGAATGTGTTATTAAGCTGAGAATATCTGAAAAAAATGTAACTATTAATTTAAAGTCTTCATTGAAATGTTGTAAAAAATTTATCAGATATAATTAATAAAAAAAATATAGAATGACTAATTTCAATAAGACATTTTCCTCTAATATAAAAAAATAATTAAAAAATCTGAATTGATTAACATTTCCATTTGAATACAAACTTTAATAGTACTATTTATTGTTTCCACTATATTCTTCGGTAAAATATACTAATTAGCCTTTGTTATCGATTTTGCTTCACACTGAGATAAATGAACAAAGTAGTTAAAACATAAGTAATTTTGTAAACATACCATATATTTGCAATTCAGATGATACATCCATTAATATGAACCACATAAAAACCCTTTCTTATGTAAATGGGTATAGTAACCAAAAATTCTGTGCATATTACTAAAAGTTATATGTAGAGAAGCATATATCTATCTATATTTGGTTTATGGCATCTGACGTTGCCTTCCGTCTTCCAGGAACCTTCTCCATCTCTTTATCCATACACCATTCCTCTTTAATCCCCTTTTCACTACATGCTAACTTTACTCCATCGTACCAAGTTTGCCTGGGTCTTCCTCTCTTTTCCCTTGTTTGTGGAATGTTTTCCATTGACATTTTTGGGAGTTTCTCATCACTCATTCTTTTTTGCATGTCCAAACCAAATAAGTTATTTCCTCTATTTCTTAAAAAACCGTCTCCTTCAATTCCATTAGGTCTTTGATCCTCTCGTTAGTTATTCTTTCTCTTTTTGAGATTCTGCATGATCTTATCGAAATTATTTTTTCTCACGTTCTGAATATAATCATCCAAATTGATGGCTGAAAAACATTAAAAATCTTAGTTGCTTGTAAGATGTTTTCCTTACAACAGGTTCTCTTTTTTCACAATGCCTTAAAACAAACTGTCAAATGATAACTAAATGTTTGGAAAAATGTCATCTAGCCATTTTCATGCATGAAAATCTTAATTTTTCCTTGATCCATTCCCATGCAGCAGATTGAATTTGGCATCCAATAAAAAAAAATTGACTTTTCGATACCTTTAATTTTGGCAATAACCAGAAGTCTGACATTACCAGAGCTTTACTTTATTATTGTTCAGATATGGCAATGGAAATTATCTTTGTTTCCTTAATGCAGCATGCTCTCATGTTTTCATGATGCTAGAAAGACTTTCCTGGGCCATACTCTGAAAAAGTATGTTAAATGCTTGTAAGATTTTGCAATACTTCACCAAATTGGTCTTCTTTTGGCATATGTTTCAACACTATCAATCAGTGATTGAATTTTTGACTAGACACAACCATTCTCATTTAGTAGCCATAAGTATGTTTTTATTCCTGCATTTTTCAGAATATTGCTATAGACCTTATTTATCAATCAATCGTTGTACATTAAAAAAGCAATAAGATAAATTTAATGCTTACATTTTCTCTGAAGACTTTGATAAGTCAATTATGACCTTTGATATCATACACAGAAATTGGTGGAGTCTATTTTGAAAGATTTTCATGATTATTATCTATATCAAGTAATTCTGTGCATTATTTTTGTAATATAGTTTGTTCCAGAAGCTGTGGTAGATAGGTTTCCATCATAAAAAATTGAGCAGCAAACATACAGAGTAGATAGAAGTGCACACTTAATGTTAGATCAAGCATTTTACATCTGTAAATGCAAGTAGGATTAAAAAATTTAAGAATTATATTCTACAAACCTTATTCTTTTAATCTGTCTGGAAATGAAATGTGTGTCATGTTATTTTTTTTTTTTAATTTATCACAAATGCACTATGTCTCAGTGATGGAATGAAAATGCACTTATGATGGGCAAAAGTATACACATGACAAGGAATTAAGAGATCTTTATTTTATCTTGTAAAGTTGCTTGAAATGAAAAAATTGCTGTTGAAATTGAAAATAAGTATAATGTACAAATGAATAATAATCATATACAAATTGATCTTTTTATTCGTAATTTTGAACGGGCATCGCGACACCAAGTTTTGCAATCTCAACGCATTATTCAATCTTCATTGGCAGGTTAAGCGTATTTTTTGCATGTTAGGCAGAATATATTTTTGTTTATTGGTTTAGTTTTTTTCGATCTTGGAAAAAGAATGGAAAGAGCTTGACTTTCCATTAGCAGATGAACCAAAAATGATAACTTTTGCTTAATAACTTGTCTAAAAGCCTAGTTGATCTTCTGAAATAACTGTTTTCGTTATTTTTTCAAATCTTCTGTTATGACTTCCAAAATAGTTTTAAATGATACACTTATAATTATTTGACTTTTGTCCTTTTCTTCGTTGCTGTTCTCTACATTTAGGAAGAGGTCTAATATCAGCAGGGGAGACAAATAAATAAATAATCATGAAGGCCTTTATCTTTTTTGAAGTACTGACAACAAAATGTATTCTAAATCTGATAAATCTTTTGTAGACAGTTCACAAAACAGTAAACTGGTGGATGGTGTATTGAAAATAACAATTGGTAAATTTAAATGAGTGATTGGAACCACAGTTCTGATGGGAAAGTAGATTTTTGTTTGATAAATCCATATCTTTTAGTAGCAGATGGATCAAATTTGTCATTAAAGGGTCAAGAGGAACATTCCCACATTTTAAATGCATTAACAGCCTTTCTAACTGATACACAGCTAAGATAAGCAGTCAAACAATTCAGCTAATTGGAATTGTAAAATGACTTGACCAAGATTATTTATCATACAATGATTACATGTGTCAAAGGCGTATAATTTCAACAGCTTGAAAGAAAGCATCTGTCAAAGCGGTTGCACTTTGTCTGCCGTGAGTGGGATGGACAATAAGTGATTTTTATTTTGGCAGAAAAATATAACTGCATCTAAAGACAATTGAGATGAAAGATTATCAAATATAAAGAAAATTGGGTTGTCTTTTGGATCTGAAAGTGTTTTATACACTCAAAATTTGGTAAGGCACCACAAAATTCATCAGTTTTGGCTTTCTACATTTTATTTTAAAAATTAGTGCTTGAGGAATGTAGTTTCCACTAGCACTCAATGAATAGATGACAGTAACTAGCTGGCCACTCTCAGTGAACTCAGTTTCCCCACAACTCTTTTGCCAGTGCTAGAAATAATGTTATGAATGTGATCCAGTATAGACTCATCCAAGTTATAAATCCTGAGGTATAAATTTGCATTTCACTATCAGTTTAATAAAGTTATTAAAAAATACTTCCAGCTGAACTTTGTTAAATCCCATGATTCTAGCAAGACTTCTCAGGCCAAACTGCTATTTTTACACGAAAGTTAATGTCCAGTCTTTTCCTGTTAACTCGTCTCTTAGAAATGGTGACTGATGTTTCTTCTGCAAACTGGAGTACCAGTTTGTGCAAATCTTTGAACATGAGTTCATAGAAGGATGTGTCCAGATCCTTATAGTGACCAGCTAAATCCCTCTTGTTGTGGTGTGAATGTTAGTTTAAATTGCTCCATTTTTCAACATCAACCTTTCTGAAAAACCAGTTTGGAATGTGGTACTACTACATGATCAGAGTTGCAGGTTAAGTTAACCAAATCTGTAGCAATAATAAAATATGCCTCTAACATTTCCAGAGTGCAGGCCCTACGATAATTCCTGAAACAGTAACTATATTATCAATATTTGGTTGAAATAAAAAATAAACATTCTTTACTATAATTACTACTATGCATTATAACATCAACAGATTTGATAAATATTTTATTATTATGTTTGTACATGATGTCAGATAAAAGTTTTACTCCAACACTATTCAAACATTTGTTCCCACATGACATTGCTTTAGATGGCAAAAATTTTCATTAATTATGAGACTAATTTCAAGTTTTTACCATATTCTGTATGTCATAAATTATTAACTAGTTCTTTTGATTAACTGATTTATTCATATTAATTTCTCAACATGAAAAAAATTATTATAAATTTTCCGAATGGCAATTATTAAGTTTCCGAAGATAAAGTCTATCCAAAAATGAACCACCATTTTAAATGGACTTTTTTTTAACTTCTGGTGACCAGTAACCTAAAAAGAAAGGTCATTGGCCAAGAAAGTGTGTAGTCTGGAACATGAGATAAATAAATGGTGGTTCCTTTTTGGACAGACTTTGTCTTCAGGAAAAAAAAGAAAATTATTGTATTTTGTAAATATCAGAATTGATAAAAAGAATCTTACCTCACTGCATAATGACTGTTTATTCAAGTGAGTTGTAGTTGTCACTGAAAACACTATGCCACAACACTTTGTTGCCTGCTTAAGTATTGCCAACTTAAATATACCAAAACAAATATACATCACTGAATTTTAACTGCTGCAAATTTTTCCCCACTCTAAGGATGTAACTATGCAGATGTGAGTGAGCGAATTTTCCAAGCAAGCGAGAAGAGGCAACGAGAGAGAGGTGTTTTATGCTGTTTCTCGCTGTCATTTATTAGGACCACAGGCAAGAGCGTGAAATGTCTATCTCTTCTCGCCACATATTCTTGCTCGCTCGGAAAATTTGCTTGCTTGCATCTGCATAGTCGCACCCTAAGTCTTAAGAATGACAAAATTTATTGTAACAATGCATACCAGTTTTTTTTGTATAGTTTTTAATACCATTTGTAAAAAGTTGTAATTCTAACCAGATATTTACATACACAATTTTTTTATTATGCAATAAATAATTATTGCATAATTTTCCATTTTTACAAATAGTAAAATAACCATATATCAAAGACAAGTCTTTGATATATGGTGCTCCTTATTGGACAGACTTGTCTTTGATATATTTTAATAATAATCCAGCCATCGGATGGAAAGATTCAGTAAAATAACCATTTAAGAGTTCCATTACTTACATCAAAATAAAAAATATTAGCAAAAATTAAATATATCTAGGTCTAAGTTCAAAATATATGTCATGTGTCCCTTTGTATATATTGCAATAACTGTAAATTGTTCAAGTTGACCATGATTTTTAGCTCAAAATTTTCATTTAAGCTTAATTTTGCTTTATATAAGTTGGTCTGTCAGTAGGATTATTCCTAAAATATCCGTAAACAGTACTTCTATACAAGGTCAACTCGGGATTAAGAAGTATCGTTAATTGACACTTCTTATAGATACTTAACAGTATGCAGTAGTATTTTATACTAAAAAAAACTTTTACAAAATTTTCAAGTGGAAATTTAAGGAATGGGAACTCAACACATCCATTATGAATTCTTAAGTAGAAAATTTAACCTTCTAAATCTCCTACATATATCTGAAATGTTCATTTCTTAGGCATCTGTTAATTACATAACTTGAACAACAAATAAATCTGTGAATCTGCATAGAATATTGCCAAAGCAATTGTTAAATATAGTCAAATCTCACTTATGTTTTTCAAAGGTACTGAGAAAAATATCATACAAATGAAACTACTATTGAATTGCTTTCAGAGTGACTATAGTTGTCTCAAAAGTATAGTGCAGCACAAATTAACACTGTAAACTGAATCTGTATATGAAATTCTTAACAAATAAGTTTCAATTTACTATATGTATAATACATTTGAACAAGATATAAAAGGAAAAATAAAAGTGTAGCCCCAATTGTAACCACTACTAATCTGTAGTTTGAAGTTTCTTGCATAATGTTTGATGTCCTTTTTTTTATAGCTTGTGCTCCTCGTTTTTTAAAGTCTGTGGGCATTGCTAAATACAAAACAAGGCAAGTGAAAATTTTCAACATATCCAGCTGAACAATTTACTAAATGGGAAAATTTGTTGGACATGGCATCACTTTACATATTTGGCTCTGCTTTACTGTCGGTATGAACTAACTGAAGTGAATATATAATTTGCTTTTCCACTTTTTTAATAATCTACTTTAAATTCTTCCATTTCAAAATGAATAATGTACAAGTAAAGAATAGTTCTACAGGTTAATAAAAAATATAACATACATTTTTTAATTATACAATTTTACATTTATAATGGAAATGTTGTTATAATGGAGGAAAGTAAAGAAAATATTTAATGTATAATTGCAGAAAAATGTATAAACAGGATTTGTCTGTATTCATATTTGTTTTTTTTTAATATTGTATGGTTTTTATGATGGTTATAAGTGTAATGGGATTATAATTGTAATCAAAACATGTTCTTGTCTCATATTTTAACATAATATAAACAAAAATTGCAGTAATACTACTACTACATTGTAGTCTATTTTAAAGGAAAAGTAAATTGATTCTTAATTATAAGTATAAACTTAGTTGCAATATTTAATCAACTAAGTTCTGTTCTAAATATCTACTTGCCAGTTAGAAATGTGTCATTAGAAATGGACTATTGTACCATAGTATGTAAAGAAGTAATGTAGTGTAATTTAATTTTTATGGAAGGTAATCAGCAGCAGGCAGATGTATCTAATCCTGTTAGCTAATTAATATGCTGTATTACTTTTTATAGCATGGCAAACTATCAATCATCTTTGTCCTTGTCAATTAAAAAAATTTTTTTAGTGCTTGTATTCATAACCAAGGTTCAAGAGTTAGAGCTAGACATTAGCATTTATGAGACTTTGATGTAAGGAAGTAAAGGACTGATTAAGTCTCTATTTTATAAGTCCTATCTTCACATAAGAGATTGTCCCCATCTACCAATATGGTCTCTCTATTCCTTTTTTGCCTGTTAGGTTGATCTTCCTACTACCACCAGCTCTTGGGACATACATACCAATCTAATGGCACTTTCCGATGCTCTTATGCAGATATTATGTTTGTAACAAACAATACTATTACTTTCAGTATACGAAGATGTTAAGTTAATGGTAATTGGCCAATTTCTAACTATAATTATTGATTCTTAGTTGTGAATACGGGCCATTAAACTCTCAACTGTAGCTACTTAATAAGTATAATTTTGTGGTTTTCTTACGAATGCTCAATTTTATCATCATTTAAGATAATCAGTGTTTATTCCCTTGTTTGTTTTAATACTAAGTGTAAAATCTGTTATAATGGTGGTTTTCAAAGTATTGTCTGTAGACCACAGACTGACCTAGTCATTTTTTTGAAAATTAATTTTATGCTGTTTACCAAGAAAAAAAGAAAATTTTCACATATCATATCTCTCTCAGGCTACAAGATAGATAATAGACTGTGCCAAAATATTTTGTCTAAGGTGATATTTATAGGAAAAGAAATGGATGATGGGCACAATGATTTGCAGATCAATAACTTTGAGAACCACTGTGTTAGAATATTGCACTTGTTAGCAATTTACCTGGATTGAAATTTGTATAACTTTTATCTATAAATTAATTATTTAAACTGCATGTTTTCAATATATATAATTATCTGTAAAAAGTTTTTTATACAATTTATTAAAATCTCATCTGTAATAGATAAAATTCAGGATATAAAATTATTATTATTAGACACTTTTTACTGCCGTGCATTATCATTTACTTATTATTTCACTTGCAAAGCCAAAATGACTCTTCCATAATTAACAAATTGGATGGTTCTTGGTTACAAAAACAAAGTATATTATGACATTCACTATTTATCACAAATTTACTGACAATGGGCAAAAACCATTTGACAAATTAGAACTTTTTTGGTTATTGTAGTTTTTAAATACTGATTTACAATTAATGAGTAAGCTCTAAATGCAATTTTCTAAACAACATTCTATTATGCTATTATTTAGTAACTTATTATTCAGTAACACCTAATAGATCAATTATAAAATACATATTAAATGTTAGTGTAATGACATTGCCGTTTTTTTATCAAATCATTATAGTATATAGGATGCAAATTATCACAATAATAATATTAAATAATTGCTTATCAATAGTTGAATAAATTACTGATCATGTTAAAAAATGTATCTTTGGAAAAAATTATGAAGTGTAATTATACTTACTATTAAATGATTATTAATAACTTAATTTGAACATTTTATTTTATATGAAATGAAAATCTGCAAGATTTGTTTCAGTAAGAATTTTAATTATAAAGGAATTCTTTTCTTTTTAAGAAATTATTATTTTGCTTTATATAATAAAATTTTGTATGAAATTTTATTGTATAATGCAATTTTAAGTTTTAAAATGTAGTCAAACTGTAAATTGTGAATAATTTTTGCATAGGAAATTTATAATATAAGATAATAGAACTGAAGCCTCCTTCAAAAATTATGGGCACTCAAATAATCCTTTCATCTATGTTGCAAGTAGAGGATTTGATCCCGGGATCCCGACTACTTTTCAGTCCCAAAATTTTCGGGATTAAGTTTTCCTAATCCCGAGATTTTCGGGATTGACATCATTTTAAAAAAGTTGCAAAATAGACTGCATGAAGCGAAACGTTCAGTGCCAGTGCTTTTACAGAATTGCTTGCCTATCATTTTAATATAAAATATGAGAAATTTTATTCCAAGCAAGCAGCAGAAATTAACCTAGCGGGCTTGCGATGCTTGCTTGGAATAAAACTTCTTGTATTTTGAACTAAAATGATAGGCAAGCAGTTCTCACTGGGTTACTTGGTAATATACTTCATTTTTGNTTGTAAGATGTTTTCCTTACAACAGGTTCTCTTTTTTCACAATGCCTTAAAACAAACTGTCAAATGATAACTAAATGTTTGGAAAAATGTCATCTAGCCATTTTCATGCATGAAAATCTTAATTTTTCCTTGATCCATTCCCATGCAGCAGATTGAATTTGGCATCCAATAAAAAAAAATTGACTTTTCGATACCTTTAATTTTGGCAATAACCAGAAGTCTGACATTACCAGAGCTTTACTTTATTATTGTTCAGATATGGCAAT